TGGAAGAAGCTAGAAGTAGCAGAGCATCAAATCTGGGCTTTAGTGGGGCTGAGTCACCTGCATGAGTTGATGTTTCTCCAAAACACTCTGCATGAGATGTAATGCATGAGCAGGTGTGGAGTCATAATGAAGCTGCCAATCACTAGTGGCCCATAGCTGCAGCCTTCTGAATCTTCCTAATAGTTTCCACAGAGGAATGTTCAAGCTTAATGCAAAATTTGATGCAGATTTGTTGCTCTACTCACTCATTTTGAATGCAACAGCCACACAATACACATGCTCACTCAACAGTGTCTACTACTCCCACTGACTAGTACGGTGAAGTCATCAATGTTCACGCATGTGCATTCCAGTCCACTCTCCTTGGTTGCCAGGTTACATTGATGTCACACAAACCATTCTTGTTATATTAACAATAGTTGGACTTTCTTGAGACTCACCATCTGTATCTTCAGAGGTAAGAAGGCTTTCAGAATAATAGCTCCACGCTGGAACACTTAAAGAATTGCTCCACTACTGATCTGTACTGTAAATAGCTACTTCTGTACTTCCTGGAATGTTGATCACATTACCATTTTGTAGAGACTACTTCCAACACGTTTGAACTGCATCCCAAATCTTTAATTCTACAAACTCTAAACTAAAGCCAGGACTTTAAAATGGTACAGCTGGAATAGGACAAGGAAAATGACTCTTCAGCACAAAAACCTCAATGACTCTTCATTTTGCATTACATAAAATCAGAATTTCCTTACCAAATACCAATATCCTTCCTACTTTTCTTCCAAAGTAACTTTCCAGCCTTATTTCTTCCACTGTCTCCTGAGTGAGTCTATCAACATAACATAGCAACACCCCACAGAAAGGCAAGTGCTCTCTGTATCTTAAACCACATGTTTAAGTGTAGTGGTTCATTTCTTGTTAAGGATATTTTAATGTACCAAACAAACTAGACAAACTTCACCCTGAAACCAAAAATTGCTTCTGAATGAGAAGTTCTGGCATGGGAATATTCTAAAATGCTCTGCATTGAGGAAAGTTCTCATCCCAGAGCAGGAGGAGCTACTCAAAACACTGCAAAATTTTTTTCAGTTTTCACAGAGAAAGTTCTATGAACATCTCTTTCCTGAATTTTCATTGAATTGTACCAGAACAGAGCACAGAGCCAACTGCTCATAGAACTGTTCTTTAGACATCAACCTCCTCCTCCCACCCATGCTCCAAACTCAGAGCTAAAATATATTAAAGTACTTAATGAGTTTTGAAGGCCTTTATACTGTTTGGTTATGAGAGTTTGAGTCTCCCTTTGGTAGGTACTGTCACAAGTGCATGCATATCTGTCTGTGTGTGTGTCTGTGTGTGTGCCTGTGTTTGAGCAGTTTGTCTGTGTGTGTTCAGATGGTTGGTAGTTATGTTTCATGCATTTGGCCAGACCTTCCAGAGCTGTATATGCCATATTGCCTGCTGTTACTAATCCTGAGACCTACCCTAATTCTTGGAGTTCTTGCCCCATTTTTCATTGTAGGATAACAAGTATCTTGACTGTAATCTATTAACTGAATAATTGAATAAACTTGTTTCCCTCCAGTGCGAGCATATTGTTTGCACACAGTGTCATCCTGGGCCCTCCAGCTATGGAAGGCCTGCCAGATATGTTTATTAAACCCCCTGTGCTTGGAAAGAACACAGAAAACTGTCATCTAGAGCAATACAAAAGTGCCTATCTCAGCTGGAGATCTCGCTGTTATGAATAAAGGAAGAGTTTGTGGTACAGTTTTGAGATGTAAAGAGAAAAAGCTTCCCCATGGTGCAAATGTGTTGTAACCCTCAGGCGAGAAAAAAATATTGAATTGTTGCTGCCAGTACAATGTAATTATTGAGTTAGCGGCAGCTATGTTTCTAAGCTTCTTAAGGTAAAAATCACATTAATTTGGCCTTCTCCAAAGGACATTCCAAGTTGTTAAATGGAAACGTCGAAACATTTTTCACTAATGGACTTAGCCAATGAGCAGCCATTTCCACTTAAGTCGAACACTGGACAAGTTGGCAGTGAAAAAGGAGATGTGCTACTGTGGAGGCTGCCTTTGTTAGCCCCAGGCCACACTGCCTTGAGATGTGTTTTCCAGACTCCTGAGGTGGTAACCGAGTGGGAGGCATGCTGGAAACCATGGCGCTGTACTCAAGTGAGTCAGAACTTGGCCTCCTCATTTAGGAGGATGGAACTCAGGGCGCACCCTCTGGGATGATGGGCGTGAGGAGGAGAGCTTTCCAAGATGCTATCTTCTAGGCAAACAAAACACTCGGCTCCTGAAAAATGGTGGCTTTTGTGTACTTCCCTCCTGGAATTCCCCAGGGTTTAAGCTGTTTCTGAGTCACTATAGACCTTGCCCCTAAATGGTACCACCTCTGCCTGGCAGGGAAAAGAGCCAGGGGTGCTCTGTTATCCGAACTCAAATTTGGGGTCATCCTGTGCATGTCAGATATCACTGTACATTATGCAGGAACTATATTCCTGCAGTGGTGCCTTCCTTGAAATGTCAGCGGGGGGATAAAAAGCTGTACTTCCTGTTGCTAATGCAAGGCTGGGCTACAAGAGCCTGGTAGGTTCATTCATTGTGCTTCCTCTCTTAGATACCGAGAGGATAGTTTTCTTGGCAACCAGGTCAAACTCTTTTGTTGCTTCCTCCCCTTTAACCTACTGGGTGGGATCAGGGCAATGTGTTCAACAAAGGGGATCAGTGGGTAAGTAAGCAATGTTGAGGATTTCTTGACTTACTATCCTGCAGTATCTACTCACTAATTGATGTAAGCAGTGTGTAGTGGAAAGAGCTAACTTTTAGGCTGCACTGAACTAGATTCATATTCCTTAGTCTTCTAGACATGGGCAAGCCAGGTATCCTCTCTGAGCTTCAATGTCAACATCTATAAACTCAGTTTAAGAGTGCCCAATTTGTAAAGATTAGCTACAATGTCTGCAAAGAGACTAGAATCATATCTGGCAAACAACAGAACCAATGCATTTAGTTATTGCTTTTTGAAAATTTGGTAAAAATAAGTATCTGAAAGACTCAAATGAGTGAATCCAATTTGCAAAACTGTTTATCTTATAAGGAGTCTCATGTGTGTTTTGGGAGAGTCTAACACATTCTGCCTCAGTTTGGAGCAATTGGAATTTTTTTCCCTTCTATGATTAATTTTATTCTTTTAAACTTCTATAGTCAGTATATAATATTATATTAGTTATATTAGTTTTAGTTATTAAATACAGTGATTCAATATTTGTGTACATTACAATATGAACACTCCACTAATTGTAGCAATTATCTGTCACTGTGTAAACTTACAACAATATTATCAACTATATGGTCCTTCACCTTCTCACCCGCCCCACTCCTCCTCCCCTCTTGCAACCATCCCTTTGGTCTCTGTTTCTATGAGTCTATTTTTGTTTTGTTTGTTCATTTGTTTTGTGTTTTTAGTTTCTACATATAAGCAAATTGGTGCAGCCACTATGGAAAACAGTATGAAGATTCCTCGAAAAGTTAAAATAGATCTATCATGTGACCCAGCAATTTCACTTCTGGGTTAGTGGTTTTATTGGGGACATTCCTCAGTATTCAGGATATTCCTCTGGGCAGACGAGGAAGTAGCTATCCAGAGTTTTAAGAGATAATAAGAAAAAGAGACAGAATGGCAAAGGAAAGAATCTTTCATTTGTGAAAACATCTTGAGAACTCCAGAAAATTGAATTTCTACACTCAGTCAATTTTGCTAAAAGTAGAGAAGCACTTTGGTGTTTCAGAACTATATGATACATTCTTAGAAGGTAATACCCTGAAAAACATTAACTGGCTGCATCCCTATTTTGACAATGGACAAACTGTGTTTCAGAGAGGTGAAATAATCTGGTTATTTTCTCACAGCTCCTTATGTTTGACTCCAAATTATGACCTTTCCCCAGCATCATACTGCCTCCACAGAGCACAGAGGCAAGTATTTTTTATCCTTACATCTTGGTCGGAGCTTCCCAGCATGCTTTGCTCATGACTGTAACAATAGTCCACTGTCAAGGGAACAAAAGCAGGGATAACTGTGTTACATACTTTGGTATTACTTGTGTAGCCAAATAAAGCTATCTTGCTACAGATGTAACCTTCGATAATTTATTGATGTAAAAACGGCCTCAGGTACCAGGTTTTTGGCAGCTGTTATAGTGTCAGAGTACACTGTAGAACATGGCATCCGTGAATATTTTATGTGGAGAAGAAATGGAAAAATACACCTTTCAATATATCAGTTCCCAGCCCTGATCTTCATTACTGAAATATGAATCGAATCCCATCTCTGAATTTGATCGACCAAAACTGTGCAAACTGAGCGCTCCTTAAATTGGGTTTCAGCAATGAATTGATCTGAAACCTAATTTTTGTTGAGCACATCAGCCTGTCCTGTGGTAGTTGGTGAGTGATCTCAGTGATATGTTGGAAACTACAGACTTAACTGTCAGGAGGATTGGCTTGGCCCTTTATCCTTCAGCAGCAGATAAATAGAGCCCCATTCAGTACGTTCATTGTGTAGGGATTTATTGGAGTTTTATTTATGCAGACTTGGAAGCAGTTGGAGATCATCAACATCTAATACACCCTCTGTCAAATATTTCTCTTCCATTGTTGGGTTATTAAAATATGGGTTGGGAGGTTGGGGGATTCTGTCCTTTTTAAGAAGCAAATACATTTTAAAAATAATCAAAGGGGCATTCTTTATTTGTATTTTTTTTTTTTTTGGTATCCAGGGTACCTCTGAGTAGTAAGTAGATTTTTGATCTCTAGTCCATCCTCAAAACTGAAAATCAATCCTCCATTTCTCCAGGGCTTACCTTTTCATCACTTGAAGACCAGTGGTTATGTGATTGGACCCACTTAGGAAGGTAGAATGATATCAGTTCAAAAGTATTGGATACCTGTGGAGTGCTTTGCAAGATATTGCAGGATTCTGTGGCCTTTGTGCAGAACTACACAGAAGTATTGCTGAGTACTTTGCAATATGAATTCCTACAATCTGCAGGAGTTTGCCACACTTTTCAGGTGATCATACTAGGTAAGTGCTTCATTTTTATCTCAATTGGTTTGATTTTGTGCTTTCATTATATTATTGCATTTAGGTTTTGCATACTTGGGGGTGGGTTTACATTTTTAACTGATCTTTAATCCCATCTCCTCTGATGAGCAGCTGACTCAGCCTAGCTGTACCTTTAATTGATGCTCTCTTCAACTCTGCATGCTAAATTGCAGTTCTACGATCTACCTAAGCAGATAGACAGTTTAATCAATGTACAAGTTACTCTACTTACTTTAAATAAATGCCTTTCTGACTTAGTAAACACCATTAGGGGAAATATAGATGGTTTAAAATAAGGTAAGTGATTTATGTTTCTGCAAATGAAGCTCTTAAGCTCATTTAACTAATGAAATACTTATATGACCTTGGAAAATTTATTTTTATGTAAAGTATGCTTTTGTTTTTATAATTTCATAATTGAACAAGATTGCTTTAAGACTCTTGTTGGTAGCTGTTAAATCTTCTGGTAATATACTAGGGTTCTAAAGTTAAAATGCCAAGATAGCACACTGCTCCCCCGCAATAATGTTTGCTATAACCTAAAATGTATTTATCAAAAGGGAACAGTTTAATGAGTATCACACTTAATGCTTGAGAATTAAAACTCTGTATTTTTTTCGAGATATAAAGTAAAGGGATTGCCAAATAATCACTAAGTTTTATGGATAAGCCTAAAAGCTTTAATTAAACTTTCAGAACTGTCTAACCTTGTAGCCACAAATGAATGCAGACGCTAGGAGAATAAGGTTTATTACACTTCACTTCTCCCCCCCTCCACGAATACCCCCCCCCCCACGCCGCTCGAGTCCAACGAGGTGATAACTTTCTATTTTACTTTTTTGTGCCCAAGTTGTTATAACTAGCTGGTACAGAGTCAGAATTAAAACTCAAGTCTTCTGATTGTTAGCCCAGAGGTCTTTCCACAAGCATGCCTCTCCGGAATGCTCTGCTTCAGCACTGACAGAGAACTGCACAGATCAAACGTGGATATCCAGTCTATTCAATTTTAGAAAGAGAGTAGCACATGCCCTCTTTCCTGACAATGGGTGAGCTTGTGTTTTCACACTGGAGTACCAGAGCGCTTGGTCAATCAGGAGCAATAAAGCTTCAGGGTATTACAATCATTAATTACTAGGGTCTCCTTTCCTGAAAACATTATGAGCTAGATTTTTCCTGGGAATCCCAACTTCAACAGGTTTTCCTCCTGTTTTTATAAATTTACTGATACAGATCAGATAATGGCTGCACATTTCTTACCTCAGAAATATAGTTTTAACTATAGAATTCCTTTAAATGGTGAGAATACTTAGTGAATTTAAACTATTGTTTGATTCAGAAAATAATAATCACACACAAAAAATCCATCTCCAACAGCCGCAGACTCACCACATTCGTCAAAATTCAAGTCACTGAAAAGCTCTCCTTTAAATATCAATACAATCATAATAATAATAATTACCATTTGTTGAATGCCTACTGAGGGGCAGACTGGGTGCTTTACATACATTATATCTTTAATCCTCACGGCTGTCATTCAAAGTCTCCATTATTATCATTATTCTAAAGATAAGGATAAGCAACTGCCCAAGGCCACACAGCTAGTAAGTCCTAGGGCCAAGGCTTGAATCCAGGTCTCTGTTTTTGAAGCCTTTTCATTCCCCCCTCCCCCTAAGCTGGAGTAATGAATGCGTGAAGCTATACTAATCAATGACATGGTGTCTCCATTACTTTAAAACTAATGGGGGTTCTGAAATAATAGCTCCAGGGAAGATGTTACAAAATAGATACTATGATAGAATGTAAAAACTTGACTTCCTTTCCTTCATGGTTTTATCTCAAATCCAATGGCTTTGCCTTCCACAGTCTGGATTTTGCATCATTTGGCCTGCCAGCGTAGAATTGGCTCTTTGGGGTTACTCAGTCTCTTTTCCTTCATCCAAATGTATGCTTTGATGTAGAACCAAAGTCTGAGAATTCCAGCAGCATCTGGTGGCAAAGAAGGAACAGCCCATCACCACCTGTCAGGCAGGCACAGATAGAAGAATGACCACAGCTGAGCCCACGCTGGCTGTTTGTCAACATGCTGCCCTCCCAGGCTGCACTGCCCTGTGGTGACCAGAACCAGACTTCTGTGCAGTGATTCTGCATAGAGCACAGTGTTTTCCACTAACGTTGAATCAGATTTCACAAGCGTGACCAGAATCCTCATGTACCTTCATGCTGTATCCCAGCAGGGGTGAGGTCAGTTGTCAACATTTTGCAGCTTATGAGTGTGCCGCATGGTGGGTGGATGGTTACTGAAGATCATGGCTTCCATACTTGCACTTCCCCAGAACTGCCTCCGGATCTTTGCATGTACTGTTCCCTCTTCCTGGATTGTCCTTCCTTCTACTCTTTACTAGGTTAATGCCAGCACATCTTTCAGGACTTGGCTGAGCATTTGCCTCCTCTGGCCCTCACAGCTGGATGAAGTGATTTCCTATATGTCCCCATAGCAACCTATTGCCTGTTCTTCTTGCTGAGTTATCACTAATACGGAAATGGCATTTTACGTCTTTCTGTCATAGAAGACTAAGATCACTGGAAACAGGCACTTAGAGACAACATTGCAACTAGTTAACATGGACTCTGGAATCAGACAACAACTAGTTTTAAACCCGAACTTTAGCATTTACTTACCTACCTAACTTTGGGTAAGATAGACCTTGAATTAAAGAACCACCTAGAGCTTCAGTTTTCTCCTCATCAAGACTGTGGTAATAATAAAAACTATCTTGTTAAATTTTTTTGAGGATTAACTGCAAATAAAATACTTAAGACATGTTTGGTATATAATACATGTGCAGAAAAAGGCAAGAGATATTCTATTATTGTACTACATTTCCTACCATAATACCCACTTAATAAGTGTATTTGCAAGTCAGATTGTATTAGACAGCTTGAAAAACAACAGAGCATTTGATTAAATTTAAAATGAAATTTCATTGCTGGATGTCACAGGGGTCTCAGGTCATTTGTTGTCTGTTTCTGTACTACTGAGAAAAATTCATAATCGCTTATTTGGTACTAAATCCCTCCACTCAGTATCGACAGCTCTCTGCTTTTTTGCTCTAAATTTGCAGAAAAGGGAAGGTTAAGACCTAATGAAGCTGCAATTGAAGATCAAACCCAAGGTCTAGCCAGGGCCCTAAGGACATATCAATGAGTCCATCATCCTTATGCAAGCTCCAAGAGACAGAATTATGGTTTTCATTCACTGTGGCATTACTAGCATACTGTGTAGGTCTGACATAGTACACACTCAAAAATATGGGTTGAATGAAGTAATAAACACATCTGAAAGGTTTGAATCAGCCAGATTTCTGTTAGGAACCCCTTACCCTGTAATTTACCGGTTTGGTCAAATCTTGAAACATTTTGCTTATGTTTTCACTAGCCATACCCGAAGAGATAAACAGATTACTTCTTATGGCGTTCATATTCATCTTACTCAACTTCCAAAAGATTCCCTCTCGTTCTTTTATTTTTCAGGATTTTGTGAACATGTTTACATTAACCACACTAGTTGTAATTTATAGATTTTGTTGCTGTGTCTCTCTCTCGGCTTTGGCCTCTCTGGGCTGAAATGGCTAAAACATTTAGGCTTGCCCATGCATAGCTTCCCTACACTAACTTCAATGATATGAGTTCAATCCTACACTTACAGAGTGCACTTAATGATACCTGTCCTCTAATGCTAGGCACTGAGCAAAGTGCAGGGAATACGGAAGCTATGTTCTGATCTTACTAAATCTTCTTTGGAATTAGGTAGTGACCCAAACTTCCCTCCAGGTGCAAAGCAGTTTAGGATAAGGTCATAGTTTCCTTGTTTTTTGTTTTGTTTTGTTTGTTTTTCTTAATCACCATCTTGGAGATTCTGGATTTGTCTTGGCCTCTTGAATGCTTCTGTATTGCTTTCTTGCTCTGACACTTCTCCTGTTGCTTGGGAATGTTACTCTTTATCCCCAAAAGCCTGGCAAGGGCAGACAGCATTTTCTCAGGTGTCTCATTGTATTTTTAACCAGCTTGGCTGTGTAGCCTCTGGTTTTCTCTTTCTAAGTCTCCAGGGACCCAGTCCTTGCTTTATTTCTGCATGATGCCATGGAGAGGACTGGGTTTGGAGTCAAAGTACCCAGGTTCCAGTTTCAATTCTGCTGCATCCTTGCTGCATGACCTTTGGCAACACACTTAAACACATTTGTTTCTTTATCTGAAAATGAGGTTAAAACTTCTCATAAAGTTTTCTGGGAGGATTTGAAAATACTACATGGGAAAACACTCTATAAATGCTACAGCACTCATAAATGTAAGTTTTTCATTATCATTGGCAAGGATGTTTAGAAGATTTATGTGGATACACTAGGCTACACAGTCTTCTAGAACCTCAAAGACTTGGACAACCAAAACTGAAATTTCCTAATCTCTCAGTGGGGACTTACAGGTGTGTAGTTTTTAAAATATTAATGGAACTGCCTATGCAAAAGCAATGTCAGTTTCCTGAAGGCAAGAAACTCTTTTCATGAGTTTGTAGTTGGCAATGCAGAAATATTAAAGAAATAATGGGAGACACCTTAATCAACCGTTTTATTTGATCTTTCCCAGCTTGCTGTAGCTGAACTAAGAAAGAATAAAGAATGCTCTCTCACAATAATTCATTTTGTAAATGTGTAATTCAGCCAACATTCCAATCAACAAACATTTATTGGATGTTTGCTTTGTAGGTACTCTGCTATTTATCTAGGTGTGGTTTTCTAGTTATTAAATTAAGAATTTTATATGTATACATATATACATTCAAAAGCATCAAAATCTCAGTCTGTAAAGCAAAAATACAGAGTTAAATATGACTGTTTTTAAAAAATTTTTAAAGTATACTTTACTGATTATGCTATTACAGTTGTCCCATTTTTTCTCTTCCCTTTGTTCCCCTTACAACTTTG